GTTAGATATACAATCTTGCAAATAAATAATTAGGGAAAATACAAAAAATTGTACAAAAATAAAGAAAAAAAAACTCACTGCAAAGCCTATACTAAAAAATGAAGAGATAATGAGATAGTTAATTGATTTATCGATGACAAATTACAACATAGAAGTGGCCAAAGAGAAGTTTAATTATGTTCGGAAAAAAAAAAAAAAGAAGTAAAAATTCAGATACTAAATTGAATACTTTTTTGATTCATGAGTCACGTTACCCACTGAAACAAAGTTCAGGGGTCTATTTCAAAAGAAATGCTTGGCGGCCAATTTTGTCTCTGTACTACATGTGATAGACCTCACTACATGTGCAATAAATATCCTCGTGACAATCAAGGCTTTCCGTGAAAAACCTAAACAATATGAAATTCCAATTAATATTAAAAAAAAAAATGGAGAAAGAAGAAGAAGACAGAGAGAGGCGGTGCCCTCTTCAAGAATAGCAATCTAATATAAGTAGGGGCCAAAGCATATTAAAAAAAAAAAAATTATGTTGGAAAAAAGTAAATACTTCTTTTATATTGCCAAAACTCAAGATTCCATTCTATATTTCTCATCCCAAGTATATGAATTTTAAATTTAAAGTACTCATGTCAAGGTGAATTCAGACATTGATCTAATAGTTCAGAACAACGCTTGAGATACTTGGAAAATTCAGGCATAAAGTACCAGGCCCCAGAGAGAATAACAAAGAGGAAAAGGAGTGTCCATTTCATACAGTTTATTTGCTTCAGTCCCCAAAATATTCCGCCGAAGAGAGCAATTGCAATAAACTCAATTTGATGATCTCTGACCATATCATGCAATGAAGTCTGCCTACTACACATGAGACACGAGAATTACCTGAATGAAAAAGTAAATGAAATGAAAATCCTAAGCATCTTCTGCAGAAGGCTGAATATCTTTAGAAATGCTTTGATGCTAAATTCGCCTTAAATGTTGATTTCAGCATTATTAAAAAGGAAACTTTATGATCTTAAGCAGCTACTTATAAAGTATAAAAATACAGCATCTATGATAACTGGAAAGAATCCCATACCTCTTAGGGAACGAATAGTATTAGTCATATGTGAAGAAATTTCACTAAATCAATGAATATCATGTAAGCAAAAGAAATCTTGTCCATAAAATTACCTTACACTGAATGGAAGCTCACAGCAGCATAACAGCTTCAAAGATGAAGCAGACAAACCAGATTATCAGATTAAATGTAGCACAGAGGATGTGATGACTTCCATGTGGTACTATTGAGACAAAATCTTCTATCTAGAACTCCCCACCAATGCCTTCTACAACCTATTTAGTTGAAGTAGCTGCAGTGCTTGCAGCAGCCTCTGCTATTAAGGAAATTGGCTGCCGAGCTTGCAGGCAAGCACCTATGTCAAAAAGGTGCAACTCAGAACCATCAAAAATAAGATTAACCCCAGGAAGGATTATTTCTCTGCTGTCAGTTTCCTCAGGATCAACTTTCATTGTACTTGATGCAGGCACATCTTCAATTGGTCTTGTGGCAGCTTCATATACAGGAGTTTGAGCATATGATCTGCAAATATTGTTCAGGATAACAGAACAAAAAGTACATGAGCAAAAACATCAAGAAGAAAAAAAAAAATTAAGAACTAAATTACCAAATGCAAAAAGCTGCTCCAACAGACCTAAGAATGCTACCATCAAAACTCAAAACTTCAGTTCGACAACGGTTGCGACTGGCAATTTTTAACCTCTGGTGCTCACTTAGTGCTCCTGATATGGGAGAAGAAGGATCCACTAGAGGATTCCACCTTCTGCTAGCATAGTTCATAAAATGATGGGATAAGTCCATCGATTGCTCCTTTTGGTACAGAAGTTTTGCTGCAGGACCTGTTGCTTGATACTCTGCACAAACCTCACGCAATCTTTTATGTATGCTTTGCATTGAATCATGTTGTACACTAAGTGAATCTTCTTGGAGCAGTTGCGATGAGACAACCCTTTTACATATATTGTTGCATAATTTCGGACTGAAAAGTGGCATCCCAAATTCCACACTTAATGGAACCCATTCATAATTTTCTTCATCAGGTGCAAAGTGATCTGATTCTCTTTCTTTAAAAAGTCTTAATAGGCGAATGTAACCAACCGTCCACAACTCTATCTTGTTTGCCAAATCAGTCAATAAGTAGTTCAATTTCGAACTTTCTGCCAAGCATAGACCCAATGCACTCCCTATGCGACCAACAGAGCCATCAGAGTTCTTTAGGGGCAATGGTATATCCATTGTAACAATTCGTCCAGATTCATCGAGGTCATATCTGCTGAGTGGCTGAACAATCAAAGCAGAGTGTTTTAGAAGTGAATTTAAACAATGTAATAGTATGCTTCCCTTAACCAAATTTCCTTCCAACTTTCCTCCTAAGCCTCCAATGGTAGAACCATCCCAAGACCATATAAGGGCCTTCTCACAACCAGCCAGTGGTGCAGGAAGCATCCGTAGACCTTGTCCTTTCATCAGAACAACAGATAAAGGCCCACTAGCCACAGTTGAATAAAGAACCAATTTCATCCATGGTGTCATTGATAAGTGAGAAGGAGGACCAAAATGAATGGGTCCTGTTGGTCCAGGAAGAACAGCTGAATGGGGGACGGGGACCATAGAGACCACAATTTCATAATCATGAAGAAATAACCGATCTAAGGTTGCCTTTGGCAGGGCAGCTAAGCTTTCACAGCGAAGGATATCCACTCGATATTTCTTTTTCCTCATTAATGGTCCTTTGCCAGTATCAGAACCCTCACTTGGTATCATTTTCTCATCATTCTGGTCATTTAGACTAGATTCAAAGGCCGTCTCATCACCTGCAGATTCAGCCACAGGTTCAGCCAAAAGAGATCCTTTCTGAGGCATAACATTGTCTCCAGCCTCATTTGTACTAGACCGTTCTGAACTGTCAGTCAATGAGATGTCAGCTACAAGAGACACAGAGTCCTTGCTGTTTAAAGCTAACCTTCCCATCTTATCACAAATTTCCATGACTCTAGCATTGGCAGCAACTCCTCCAGATAGCAGGCATTCCAAAACACAGCGGAGGCTAAATATGTGATTTGCAAATTCCTGCAATTCTCCCTCAAATTTTGTTCCCTCTAATGTATCCAGGTCCTTGCAAAGATCTGCAATACTATCATGACCCAATTTCCCTGCTTCATAAAGCTTTACAGCATGGGATTTCAAGCCTGGAAAATCATTAAAAGGGAAACAGAAACAGTGACCATAAGGTAGATGAAAAACCATGAAAAAGCATCTAAAAATGCCAAATGTAACATCCAAATGCAGAATGCAATGATTAGAATATGCCTCAAGTTTTCTCCCTATGGATAAGAGTCATAAGACTATAAGAGTTGCCTCAGAAAAAGGAATTGAAATTCATATAGTGCACTCTATTGGAACCTAAATGAACTGGAGAACCACACAGGAAAAGGTTAAAAGTTATGTAGCTTTCTCCAAGAGTATCCAGCAAACAAGTACAAAGGCCATTTAGGAGCAACTAAAGAGCAACTAGCAGAAGTTCATGCTCACCAATTTTTGTTTTTACAGGCTACTACACCTGCTTGACTACTTAAACTGTGCCCTCTTATGGTCAGAAGATACAGCAGTTATCACTTAATGGTACAAACCTTTGCACCCAGTCAATTGGTTTGTGGTTCAATAACCATAGCACACAATGTTTACACTTCTACTTCATCATGATTTTTTTTTTTTTTTTTTGGGCCAAATTTCATCCTGAATCATTATTTATATGAAGTTCAGTATTGCAGGCCTGCCAACCTCCTTGTCATTTTGCACTATTAGTTAGATCTTCAGAAATGATGAACAGATACAAATCTGAAATAAATTTACACAAGCTAGCATTCAAAAGGAGAAACAACAAGGTAAAAAGAATAAAACAATGGAATAGACCTGGTGAAACAGAGCCCATCATGAGATAAGATGTTATATTAGCATCAACAACGAAAGCAACCCGAAAATCATTAGAACGTGACCCATGGTTTTCTGTCCCTGAAAAATCTCCCTGTTGAGTAGCATCACTATCAGTGGAAATGTTTGCTGAGCCCATACTATTGAAAGCAGAGTCATCTTCATCAGTAAGACTGACTCTATGAGAAGCAGGTAGTTTCGTATCATGAAGAGCAGATGTGGGATCAATCACTTTTTCTGCCCATCCCAATCTGCAAGCAAAAGATGCAGCTGCTTGTAGTTGACTAAGATCAGCCTGCAATGTTGCTGCCAACTCAGCAACAGTTGAATTCCCATTTGAAACAACAAAAACTGCATACAGCAACCTGAATAATGAAATTAATAGCATTAAGATATTTGTTTCAGTTGAACTAAACTAACTTTGAATAGACAAATAAAGAATTAGGTGCCTACTCTTCAATTGGATCTTCATAAGACTGCTCCTTGTTCGAAACAAACCCTTCAAGCCTAGAAACTGAACAGACACAAATATCAACAATTAAATTCAGAAATCTAAACAGCACAGAAACTAAATTGTAAATTCTGAAGTAGAGTAACTTTTTTTTTTTGGACCTGAAGAAGTAGAGTAACTAACTAGAGGATGGGGGTTTAAACGCTGCAAATGTTAAGCATCCTAACAATCCCCTTACAATATATACATTTATAGTAGAGTAAGTTCTTTCATTACCATATTCAAAGAAGATATAAGCAGAGTGATGAAAAATTAAATGAATTTCCAATAGAATGTTTGATAAATAATGAGAGAAAGCAAGACTCAAGTGGATAAAAGAGCATATTCATGAGTAGATTTTGACATAAAGAACCATCAAAATTAACTCTTAAATATATAGGTAAAATAGATAACTCATACAGCTCCTATTTAACAGGACAATTCTGAGCAACTTACCTTTAAATCGGTCATCAGGATAGACAGACACATCAAAGTAGATCAAACCCCGTCGATAAAGACCTTTTATAATATCAGAATCAAACAGGACAAAAGCATTAGCTTCTTCCTTGCATATTTTATCTATTGTTGCTGTTTCTTCTTCAGAGAGTTTCTACAAAAGTGACAAAGAAATACTAAGTAAACATCAACAACAAAGTTTGACACAAATGCACCTAACATATGAGGTTAATATAATTAATAGGTCATAATATAGTAAATCTGATGAAAACTCTTTAGATCATAAAGGGAATAGATCATCAAAAGCCTACCTTGAATTCTTCCAAAGTAAAGTTAACAAGACAAACTCCCCACCAAGGTTCAATAGGAAAGTCCACAGGTTGTGTAGGTAACTGTTCTTTTGCAATTGACTTGTTCAGCTTCCACATAATTTTCTGGATAGCTCCACATTAGTAAACACTAGGTAAGACAATAACTCAATCTCAGATTACCACTTGCAAATTCGAAACAATGGTCAAATATTTTGGTTCTTTCCAATTAATATCAATGAGCACAAAAGCCTGAAGAAGGAGCACACATTTTGGTTTCAAGTCTAGACATCCTTTTACCTTTAAGTTGTGCAATTTAAAAAAGGCAGTCATTCTGCTATCATATTTAAACAAGCCATCAAATCATAAAAGAATTGATTCAGGTTGCATTACACGCATGAAGATTAGTGTGAATGGATACATAACTATGTGCATTTGATGTGGCATGTGCAGGAATTAAATGCATGTTACGCACCCACCACTTTACCCATCCATACACAGGAGGTCAGGAGCTATATGTATCGGCAAGAAGAAAGGAAATCTGCTTCAGTACCTTAGATCTGCACTTGTTCATGATATCAATAAATTCATTTCTCCCAATTCCTGTAAGACGCAAGGCATCTGCAGCACTGAAATTTGGGATGCTGTCATAAGGTTGCTCTGCCAACAATATGAAATACCTTAGACTCGTACATACATATTAAGCTAGACTAATCCATCAAGGAATGACAACTAAAGAGGGTAAATGCTATGTCAACTAAATAGTCATTGCATACAAAAACATATAAAATGGTAAATCTATAAAGCAGAAACTGAATATGGACAAGTCAAAGATAGAAAGAAGGGATATACCACTTTTCATGACCTCAAATATCATATCACAGTAATATCGGAAAGGAGAAATCCTCATCACACGGCAAACATACTCCGCAAGATGATAAGGGAAAAGCTGCAAGTAAAAGTCAAAATGAACGGTGAATAGAACCAATGGAGATGTTTAAGGAGGAGGAAGAGGAGGAGAGTCATCCATTACTCTTTGCAAACTGTATCTTATGAAAGTAGCTTTATCAGAGAATATAGTAGTCAAAAAGACATAACACGATAGCAAGTAGAGCTTAGTCCTGGTTGGCATTCTCTAGATGTGAAAGCATTGGTTCTAGGGTAGATCAAAGGTTCAAACCTCTCTAGATACTAATAATAAACATATGAGTATTCCAATGAACTGAGAGAAAGCAAGTGTTTCAGAGCAAATGAACATACAGTTTCATGATACAAAATTTACTTATTTCTCAATCTCAAAAAACCCAGATTTTTCCTATTGAGTTCCAGAGCAAGAGCAAGTGTTGACAAGTATGATTCTTAGCCATCACCAAACAAGAACAGTGACTATAACAGAACAACTACAATTATTTGAAAAAAGTGCAAAGCAAAATGAAAAAAAAAAAAAAAGAAGCAAGTTGCTAAAAGAACTTTCACTTAAAACGCACCGCCAGATTCTTTCGCAAATAACGCATCATATCTTCGTAATATTCACTTTCTTTGCATACTTTGCGAGCAAAACAAGTATTCCATTGGAGCCTTTTCTTGATGCAGTGCTCAATAATCCTAAGTGAATTTACCACAGGAAAATAAAAATGGTAAGATCAAGCAATAAAATCTTGATTGATTAGCCGAAAAAAAAAAGAAAAAAAGACAAGCAATAAAAAAAGAAGTCGCAAAAAATGATTACTAAGTTTAAGTCTACAATCAGGATAAATTAAGAATTCAATTGACAAACAATGAGGATGAGCATTGTTAGAAATCATCTTAAACCCAAACTCATAGAGAAAAACTGATAAACATCTTGTTAAAGAGACAATGCTTCTATTAAAAATTCAGAAATTTTAACATTTTTCACTAATTTGTTAGAAATCTGAATTTGCAGTGGTAAAGCAAGATTTCCCAAAAATCCGTGGCATGTATAACTTCATGCATGATATTGACCAAAGCCATTATTCTAGGGGCATGTATGATTACTCAAAACACAAACTCTCTCATATATGAATCCGAACTCGCCAAATAAGGGATCCAACTAAATCACATATGCAAATTCTTGTTCAGAGAAGAAGCATCTAAAGTTCCACTAAAAACATCTATCACTCACAAGCATAAGGTTCTTCCTTCTCAACTTAGAAACTTAACAGCAGAAAAAAGTTCATAATGTCTCTCTAATAGGTTCTGCTAGACAAATTGATTGCTAATTTTACGATAAGGAAAACAATGAAGTTCTTCGAAGCTGCTAAAATGGTGATGCCAAGAACTATGAATGAACAAGTGACTACTCTAACCTTCTGTGCCATTCTTCTTTAGCATTAAGAGTCGCCTGAAGCCGCTTGGGTAGATTCTCCCACGGACATTCCTCCCTTATAGCTTTCAAAATTAACTGTTCCTCCACAGTAGCCGGCATGTGCTGCATCTTGACGGATCGCTGATCAGGTCTGCAGAAGAATCAACAAAAACAATCGGAGGTGGTTAAATGCTGTGTAATTTGAAAATTCTGGAAGCATTTGAAATGCAGATTCTGGATCAAACCTGAAGATGGGTAGATCAGAGGTGGTTGCTTATTGGTTGCGATGGTGGATCAGCTAGGGTTTGTAATTCAGAGAGATTCAGAATTAGGAATTTTCGTCTGAATTATACAATCGTAATGGTTTTAGCTCGATTTGGAATCGAAGTTCTGAGCCTGTAAATGTCTCAATAAACTGAAGTTGGAACAGTTTGGCGTATGGTAGAAGCAGAAGTTTTCCCCCTGCTTTGTCTTCTGCCTGCTCGGAAATGGCGATCCCGGGCCGGTGTGCCGTAAGAGCCGGGTCGGATGGGTTCGATTTGGATCCAAAATAGAAAAAAAAAAAAAATGGTATATTTATTTTTTGGAATAATCCGATAATGCCCCTTGATTTTAATTTCTTTTGACGGTTTAGACTACAAACTTAGTTCATGATTTTTAATTTTAAATACTAAGGCCCCTAAACTACATGAACTAGGCAGAACCTCAAATTCACCTTTAAAAAAAGTAGGTAGGGATAAATTCACCATTTAAAAAAATATAAAGATAAATTATCCTTTCAAATTATAAATCAAAATTAATCATTTATTTTTTAACAGATTTTGTTTGACATGTAAGCATGTTTTAACGAAAAGTTAATAAAATTTGTTAAAAAATAAGTGATTTATCTTAATTCATGATTTGTAAGGATAATTTGTCTCAACATTTTTTTTGAATGGTAAATCTATTCCTACCCACCTTTTTTAGGGGTGGATTTGGAGGTTTTACCCATGAACTATACTAATTAAGATCCTCCAAAATTAATGTTTAGACTTGAGAGCAAGCTCTTTTGCTAATGTAATGGGCCTAATGGCTATCACTTGGAAATAATATTGCACCATTTCAAAGATTTTCTAAATTAAATTTTATTTAACTTTATCCTTTTGTTTGTTTAATTTCACATATAAAAATATAATTTATTGTACCAAAAAAATGATTTTGTCACTTACTCTAAAAAGTGATTTGCTCAAATAGTGTAGTGTTAATTTAGTCAAAAGGTAAGGTAGAAAAAACATCAAGGAACCGCCAGAGTTTTTTTTTTTTTTTTTACTAGTACCCTATTCTCAACTTTGCTATTCTTGGCATACCCGAAAAAAAAAAAGTGGAACGAGCAGGCCCCATCCGGCCCAAACTCCAATAACCTATTTTTAACCGCTTGACTCTCGTGGGTAAAATTTTACCCGATTGACCAACGAGGGGTTGGATCAAGTGGTAAACGATTGTTTCAGTTTAAGTAAGATTTTGAGTTTGGGTTTTTGCGTACGCAGTAACCTTCGTTGAGAGACTCACCCACCATTTCTAGTTGCACGACCTGGGTCGGGTTCGAATTAGTCGGGGCGAAACCTGGATACCGGACAGGAAACCGAAAAAAAAAAAAAAATCAGCTCAGCTGCCTCTAAAACCTGAAAAAAAAAAAAAAAAAGGAAAAAAAAAAATTTTACCCGATTGACCAATGACCGGCGCCACATAAACGTGGAAACAGAGCCAACCGAAGTAAACCGTACAACCAAACAGAAAAGAAAGACCCGCGTTGCCGGCACAAACACAAAACAACTCAAAACAGAGAGCCGCCACAGGGCATTGTTGTCTCCTTCCTCAATCCGCCTTTGACCGCCTGCAGACGGCGGGTCAACCCTCCTCCTCCTCCCTCCTGTAAGCTTCTAGTTTCTCCTTTTCTTCACAGTACCTAACAATTTCCTGGTATGTTTCAAGAATATGGTACTGAAATAGTAGTTAACTAGTTTTGCTGCAGTATTTTGAATTAAAGTTTTGATTTTTGTCTGTCAGCGACAAGTTCTGGTATAGGCAGTTATAAGGGTAGTGAAGAAAATTGCTATATGGCTCTTACTTTCGAGGTACTACGTTTAATTTATGGAGTTTGTTTTTGCTAATGCTGTAATATGTGTTCTCCTATTTTCTGTCTGAATGGTTGGAACTTCAAATGTTTCTGCTGATTGAATATATGCAGCTGATGTTTGCTAAGACGTAGTTTGCTTTCTGAATTTTTAGGTTTTAGGGAGGTTTAATCGAGCTCGTGCAGCTCGGCTGACCCTCCCTCACTATGTGTGCCAGACTCCCCTATTTATGCCTGTGGGAACACAAGGTCAGCGTGGATATTAATATATATAGATATATATTTGGGTAATGTTGTAAAGCAGTGTCTTCATAATTTTTTGGTTTTGCTATCACTTGTACAATTTGATTGATTTTAAAACTAAAAGAACAGATTTTACCTATTTTATATAAATGAGAAAGAAAACAACTTGAGGGGCATTTGATTCATTTAATGGTTAATTGTTGTCGTAAACATGGCTAGAAAACATGGTTGGTCTTCTGGTTGCAGGAACAATAAAAGGTTTGACAACTAACCAGCTTGAGGAGATTGGTTGTCAAATAATTCTTGGGAATACATATCATTTGGCACTTCGTCCTACTTCCGAGCTTATTGATGAACTGGGTGGTCTTCACAAGTTTATGAACTGGCCTAGAGCATTGCTTACTGATTCTGGAGGATTTCAAATGGTTGGCTTATGATTTGGTGCACTGCCATATTTCTCTCAATTTTTAGTTATCATATTGTTTTTTGTTCTTTTATGTGAATTGACTTGTACTAAGTCATTGTGTTTACACAAATGCATTATCGCCATCCATCTAACACTTGAATAATTTAAGTAGCATATTATCCGGAAATGACAGACTGATTGACAACAGATACAATAAAATGGATTTAGTCCAGAGAGAATACAATAAAAATCAGTAATGAAGTTACGATTGATAATTTTTTTTGTTGTTGTTGTTGCTGCTGCTATATTATTGCTAATGGTGGTTGGTAAAGTTTTTAGAATAAAAAGGAATAGAACCAATATAGTTTCTAGCTTTTTATATTAAAAGGTCATCATCACGCGATTACCATACTGTGTCAAGCCATGTTATTGAGTGCTTACCATAACAGGTGATCTATTTCACCGTAAATCTTCATCTTCCCCTATATTAAGTTAGCTTACAATCTTTGTGCTGATCTTTTTTAGGTTTCACTTCTCCATTTAGCTGACATTACCGAGAAAGGTGTAACATTTCAGGTAAAATCTCTTGTGAAATAATTAATGGACGTTTGTGGTTTTTATAAGTCATTATGGTCAATTCAGTCTTAACTAAGTTTTCTTTTTTTTATTACACTTAGATAATTGATACATATTTTCGAGCTCTTTAGTGTCTGTCTTTTCCAGCCCGTACTTTACCAAAAGTGGGGTGCATTGTTCCATTGCTTGTGACTAATTCTTTGTTTTGTACTCCAGTCACCAGTCAATGGAAAGCCGATGCTCCTAACACCAGAGGAATCTATTCAGATCCAAGTATGTACATACAGCTATCATTCTTGTATCATAATTGATAAAGTCTGTGTGTGAGAGTTGCCTCTATCTTAGAGGCATGCTCATTCTATGAAATGCTTATTTGGCAAGTTTACTTGAGACCAAGATGTTAGAAGTTTGAATCTTGACCGTGGTGGACTTTTTGGCAATGTAACTATCAAAACTTACATTACTGTGTGACCTGGGTGGAAATCTTCCTTTCACATTTATTAGTCTAAAACATCATTTACCAATGTAAAAGCTATGGACCAGACTCTGTTAAAAAGCTATGTGCCTGTCTCTGTTTCTCATCATTTTGTACGAAAAAACATCTTCCAAGTGGAACATTAGGACTAATAGCATAGCATAAAAACTTCTCATTAGGGATGGTTCCAGAATTTTGGCAGGCAGTTCCTTAAAATCAGATTTCAATGGGGGCAAAAGTTGAAATTTTATTTAAATCTAAGGATGATTTTCTTTCATGTTCTTATTTTATTTTATTTTTTAAAATTTTCAAGGATCCAGTGGGAGCGTCACTGCCTCCACCCAGGACCAGTCCTTGGTTAAATTCAATATTGTTCTTAAGTGTTTTATTTCAAAAAATGTTGTGTGCAACCTTTGTTTTCTGCCAACAATTTTGCAGAATAGAATTGGAGCAGATATTATTATGGCTCTTGATGATGTAGTTAGAACCACTATTACTGGTCCACGAGTTGAGGAGGCCATGTATCGTACCCTCCGGTGGATAGACAGATGCGTAGCAGGTAATTATACTTCATACTGTGTGTCACCATGTTTATCTCAAAGATTGATTTGCAAGAAATTTTTAAATAGATCAAGTTTTAACAATTTAGGTTTTGCTCACTGTGTACCCATTATTGGGATTGTTGAGATAAGATCAAATGTTAGTGTCAGGAGCTAAGATGTCCATTAAGCATTAGGTAGTTTGTCACAATCACACATGATTATAGCCATGTCCTTCTTGAATATTATATATCTATTTTTTTATCATATAATTATTGGCTTATAACTCTTACTCTTGATTCCCTGTCTTCCTTGGATCATTTGTTATGTCTATTGTGGTGGAATGTGCTCTTTTGAATTTGGATTCCTAGCCTTTCATAATGTTTAATTTTTTAAATTTATTTCACTTTATTACTGGTATTACTCAATTGGGCCATATCTTATTTTTGTCTCTGTTTTCTGGACAGCTCATAAAAGACCACATGACCAGAACTTATTTGGTATTGTGCAAGGTGGCTTGGATCCTACGCTAAGGTGAAATTCTATTCATGCTGTAATTTTCCTCTGTAGTTTCACCTTGTTTTTTCCCTTTAGATTACTGATAATGCTACTTGCTTGCTACTAACTTTCAGTTTTTGTTCTCTCCCCTTCTCTGTCTATGTGATCATTTTGTTTTATCAGGGATATATGTGTTAAAGGGTTGGTAGAACGGAATCTACCTGGGTATGTGATCAAGTTTTTCTTTATTCTAGTCATGTTATATTAATAAACAGCATTTTCTCTTTTCCATCAGCATCATGTTATTGTTGTTGATAAAAAAAATCAGCATTATGTTGTTTTTATACCAATTTTATGATAAAGGAGATGAATTAACTATGATTTTGTCACAGCTATGCCATTGGTGGTCTCTCAGGTGGAGAAGATAAAGATTCATTTTGGCGTGTTGTTGCTCAATGTACCGCAGCACTGCCTGAGAATAAACCCCGATATGTCATGGTGCAGCTGAGTTCTATCTTTTCAGCCAATATATTGATCTTCTTGAACCTTATGTCTTCTCCAACATTTCCCTACCATGATATTTCTGCATTCATTATTTCAGGGTGTTGGTTATCCTTTGGATATCGTAGTTTGCAGCGCCTTAGGTGCTGACATGTATGACTGTGTTTACCCTACTCGTACTGCTCGTTTTGGTACTGCTTTGATACCTGAGGTGATGGCCTGCTTGAAATTTGATTTTGTATTTTGTATTTTGCATTCAAGTGGAAACTTAAGGAATGTGAGAGATATGGAGAAAGATTTCACTTGTTTCAAATTTCTGATTTTTGTCAATTTCAAAATGCAGGGAGTGCTGAAACTTAAACACATGGCAATGGCTGAAGACACTCGCCCCATTGATCCTACATGTGCTTGCATGGTATGCTAGTAATGATATTCTTAATGGAAATTGTTAATGTAGAATGTTTTATTTTTTTCATATTTGCATTATTTAATTTCTTGTAATGTAGGTTTGCAAGAACTATACAAGGGCCTACATCCATTGTCTTGTAACAAAAGATGCCATGGGATCTCAGCTCCTTTCATATCATAATTTGTATTACATGATGAAGGTACAAGCTTAAAGCTTCTACTGCAATATTTTCATTAGCTTCGCTGTTGATTTTTGTATCCATCTTGAGTAAATCTTTTATTATTGCAGCTTAGTAGAGATCTACACTCATCCATCATTGAGGGAAGGTTTCCCGAGTACGTTTGCCTTTTGCTTCCCAACTTTTCATGAAACTTTTTTTTCTTATTTATTTCATGGACTGAAGCCGATTGTTTCTTGATTGATTCTTTTGCAGCTTCGTGTGTGAGTTTTTGCAGAAAATGGTATCAATGCCTCTCTCTTCACTCATGTTTTCAGCCATAAATTTAATTAAATTATTAGGAGTATCTAGCTCTGCATATATCTTTACTTTTTAATTTGACAAGCAACCCATAAAACTAAAGTCCAGTTCATGGTTTTCCATAGGTGATTCTGTGTTTTGTTTTCACAATGCTTTCTTCATCTAGTTTCTATCTTCTTGATTAGTGATGCAGTCAAACTGATTAACTTGAATAAATTGTAGGGAAGGTGATTCACCATGTGGTTCTTAAACCTTTTCATGTCTCTGTTCTCTTTCAGTTTCCTAAAGGTGATGTCCCCGAGTGGGTGTGCAACGCCATGGAAGTTGCTGGAATTGATATCTCCTCCTGCTGTGCACCCTTTTCAACAGCCAAGGATGAGCATTAACCTTAATTACACGAAGACAGAATTAATGAGGCAAGCTCTTACTTGCTTTAACAAGAAAAATTGATAGCAAAGAATTTTAACACACAGGTAACAACAATGAGCAGCATATATTTTGTACCCAATATGCTGCTTCCTTACAAATCACAACCCATTTCGGAGATTTGCTTCCTCTGTTTGCGTTGATATATCTCTTACACTCACCGTGAGGTATTTTGTTTTTGCTATTGGATATGATTTTGTTCAGTGAAGATTGTTTTCTGGAATTCTGGATACTTGTATAATCTTTTTACCATTTTATAACTCCAATTTGATTCTTAATTTCTTATCCTTTCTTATCATTTAAAAATGAAAAGAAAAGATAAGAGAGAAGAAGCTGCTCTGACATATAAGCCTATGCGCTACACAAAAAGTAGGCATCCATCTCTTTAATTTCCTTCCTAAAAATAGCAAGTCACAGTTGTTAGTTACGTGCAAGCATGTTTGTTATGATGAGTGTGGATGATCAATGCTTCCTTCTGAGATTTGATGCTGGAGAAAAAGATCTTATGAGAGCCATGTGATGATACTACTCTAATGACGTTTACTTGTGCTCTTCAATGGGACACTAACTGCAAAGACCTTGGCATCGTTTGTTTGGAGTATTAAAATAAATTGATGTATCAATATAATAGGAAAGTTGGCCAAAAGAGGCTTAAGGTTTCAAAAATAATACTTTTATAATGTTATATAAGATTGTTAGTTTATAATAATAATAACAAGTCAACGACTTAAATAATTCAAAGGTAATTTTTTTTTTTTGAAGTAAAAAGTTTTAAATTCGAGTCACATAATATGCAGATGAAGTAAGATAAAAGATGAGAAAGAATTGTTATATTGTAACTAATCATCAAAATAATAATAATAATAATAATAATAATAATAATAATATGATATTAAATGCGTCCAAACTTATTCATGGGTTCAAACGGTGGAATGAACCATGAACAATCAACTACGTACGGCATATGGGTGCCCTTGCCAGCCCAACTCTCCTTTCAAATGCCCATAGCTCTTGTCTGTTTCTAGCTGTATATCTTGCTTTATCCCTCTCTTTTTGCAACCACATCAAAACCTCACTAATTCTAGACAAAGTACTTTGCTTCGAGTGCATTGACATTCATATCTCCCTTTCTTCATCTTCTACACAGCTGAATACCATTCTCTTGCAGCTTACTGTAAAAGAATGTGTTAATCATGAAGAGAGGCTCAGTGGTTCTGCTTACCTGGAGTCTTTGATCCCCATCTGTCCACCTACAGGTACACAACTCAAATTCAATTTTAGTTTTCTTTCCTTTTTCTCAGCAAACAAACGGAAAGTCCCAAGACAAATTAGAAAGAAACCCTTAACTTCTTCTATCCCTATAATTTAATTTGCCTTTTTTAGAAGATATGATGGCAAAGAGGAAGCAAGTCTACAGCTGGGAGTTCCAGCAAATGTTGGATAATTTAAAAGAAGAAGATTGTCTGGAAACAGCCTGCCAACATGGAGAGAAGAAACGGAGACTGACCCCGAATCAGATTAATGCTTTGGAGAAGAATTTCGAGCTTGAAAACAAGCTGGAGCCGGAGAGGAAGGTGAAATTGGCAGCGGAATTAGACCTGCAGCCACGACAGGTGGCTACTTGGTTCCAGAACCGCCGTGCACGGTGGAGGACAAAACAATTGGAGAGAGACTACAACCTACTTAAAGCCAGTTATGATGCTCTTCAGCTTGATTTCAGCAATCTTGAACGAGAAAAGGAAACTTTAACTGCACAGGTATTGCATTCATTCCTGCTTTTCTAGTATAGAGTTAAACATCATTTTGAAAGTCAACTTTCTATTTTGATTTTCATGGAGGAGTTGGTGTTTGAATTGCAGCTAATGGAGTTGAGAGCTAAGCTGAAGGCCGAAGAAGAAGTGTCCCTAAAAATTTCACAACAAAATCATCAGTTAATGGCAGCAGCAGCAGTGTCTTCTTCCCTCCATTTCAATGGCGGTTCTTCATCTTCAGAGTCATCAGTGCAATGGTTCAAATCTTTCAACTCGGGAATGATTATGGGTAATATGAACAATACCCAGTTTATGAAAGTAGAAGAGCAGAGCACTCTGTTTTCTACAGAAGATTCATGCAATATTTTCTCCCTTGATCAAGCTCCAACACTTCAGTGGTACTTTCCTGCTGGAAATTGAAATTAATCTCAATAGTTGGAAGCCTTGCCAAAGGAATAATATAGTTTTAACTTTTCCTTTTTGTTCTAACAAAGCATCTAAACCCAGAAACAAGCGTTCATCAATTGAGCTACAAGCTGTAGTACTAATACATACGTTTGATATTTCCAACTATGATCTATGAGTAGAGTAAAAGGAAATACATAATTTACTATATGCTTAAGGGAGGAAAATACTGAGGAGAAGAGCTAGAACATCATAGGATATCATGTCACAAATTCTCGTGTGCTATCTTGATCAATGGAGAAATGATATTTCAGTAGGAGATATATCATAAACAATCTCTAATAAGTTTCAAACGACAAACTTGAAACCTATCATGTATCGGATTTTCATTGCTTAGGGACATTACAACCTGGTATCCCAAGATATTCGAGTCTGAATCATTATTAAGGTCGTGGGTTTGGAACTTTTGTTCAATTCATCCTTCTTCTTCTTCTTCTTCTTTTTCTTTTGGCCAAACCCTCTATTTGCACCCTCCATTTATTTTTTTTTTTGCGGTCAACACCTTTCAGAATTTTTCCTCCCTATTCACACCCTCAATTTTTTAAAATCCGTAAAAAACTTAACATTTTAACGCGCCATCACGGTACCATTACAAAATACACTACGTGGCACCCAATAATTAACGTGGCCACTCTGTGCCGTTAGTAATTCAATGTAAATGCCTTTTCTTGATAGCGTCGCTTGACATGGCATAATTTTTTTGTGAAAATTTCCCAGAAATAAAAAATAAAAGAATAGGAGCTTTGGTTCCTCATGGGTTCCTCCTCGTCGTGAGGAACCCAGAGGTCCTTTTTTTTATTTTTTTGTTGGGGAATTTTCACACAAAAATTATGCCATGTCAAGCCACATCATCAAGAAAAGGCATCCGCATTGGATTATTAATGACACAAAGTGGCCATGTCATATTTTGTAACGGTACCATGACGGCGCGTTAAAATGTTGGGTTTTTACAGGTTTTGAAAAATTAAGGGTGTGAATAAGAAGGAAAAATTCTGAAAGGTGTTGACCGTAAAAAAAAAATAAACGGAGGGTGCAAATAGGGGCCTTTGCCTTTTCTTTTTTGCCAATTTTTTCCATTTGTGATTGGTACCTATCAACCCATGTGGTTTGTAAAAGGTAGATCCCGACCCATAGCGAATAGCTAACCAAAAATTGAATGGCCACAGAGCAGAAAGACCGTTGTAATACGGCACCACTCCCTGGGCCTGCCTGAACATTACAAAATTGACTCAGGATTGATATTTGCCTCCCAATTAAGAGGACTCCACCGCCCAAATGCCTGCCAAGTTCAAGAATAAGATAGCAGTTGCTCTGAAACATCAACATGCCGACTCAATTCTCACCTGTAAACAACAAGAAAACATGGTAAGTCATTGGTAATTAAATCAGAGTATACATGTAACACATTATTAAGAAGGTTTTGTTTTTTTTTTTTTTAATGATCAGTTGCACAACAAGAGGCAATTCTCTCTTGTCCCTTATCCCACCCCACCTGCATTTCATGCAATTTGAACTCATAACGTCTTATTTCAAATGAAAGAAAATTACCACTAAATTATTTAGATCGTTGATCACGTTATTAAGAAGTTAGAATCAGCTTACACTACCAACATATGAGGGAGGGAAGAAGACATGTCCCTTTCCAGTCTTCTAGATCTGGTGAGAAAGAGATGATGACCAAAAAGCTGCTGCTGCTCTTGCATGTGTAAGGAAACGGGACCAGTAACCAAATATGTCAGCCATGTTTGACTGAAAATGCCTTCATGGGATCTGGATTTTAGCTTGCAATGACGTTGATGGGATTTGAACCAAATCTTTCAATGCCATAGAATTGATGTTACCATGATTGATCCTCCGAGTGCGATATAGAGTTGCTGGCAGAAGCTGGCTTGATTGGGTTTCTTCTTTAGCCTCTGGATAGTTGGGCTGAAATTTAAAGACATGACCCCAGCTTTGATGACTCCACTGTGACAGTTGGTATTTGAGAGCTCTGGAACATGAAGTTGTAATGGTTCAAATTTCTTGGATCAATCAATGCTATGATTTGTTCTTATCAATAAGTATCAAGGGGAATCAAAACTAGGAATTTCAAAAAAAAAGGTATTTTGCAATTTGGTAGCTGGTACAACTATTAGATTATGATGGATTTCTAATAATATGAGAGAGCCTTTCATGATTTCATCTAGTAACTAGTGTTTTATTCTAAAATGCAAAAAATCATACTCTAATTTAAAATTTTGTATTAGAGTTAGGGTTTGAAACCCTCCAATAACTTAGTACTATTTTGTTTTCCACTCATGAAAATAAAATTATACCATGTCTAAGTTTTGAAGTAAATGAAAATAATAAAATAATCTTGAATGAGATTTGATTACACAAAATAAATAAATTGTTATTTAGTTTTTAGAACTTATTCTTTGTTACTTAAAATTGTTTTATTGAATTTTCTTTATCATGGTAGTGATATTGCTAATAATAATAAAACCTTGGTGGTTATGATGGAATGCTAGTCTTCTAGAGCCCCTATTACTTATAAACTCGAGGTTCTAATTTTGCCAAGTACAAGTGATTGGGTTTAGAGCATGTTTCGGTTAGTTTGTAAGAGGTTTAATTTTTTTTGTACTGTTTATGAGTGATAAGTTTAAATGTTTATTAGAGGAAAAATTTAAAAATTGTTTTTAGAAACAGGAAAAAGTGAGTAAAATAGAAATTTATTAAAAGTTTAGATTTGAAACTTTTGAGTTTTTACTGTTTGAGATCTTTTTAAGGATAAAAAAAAAGTTTAAAAATGTAAGTTTTTAAAAGAAAAATTTTAATTTATGAAACATGAATAATGTCAAAAATTGAAACACTTAAAAGTTAAACCAAACATGCCATTAGTCTATTGACTTTTGTTTTTATGATGTGAGAGTATATGATTCAAATTTATTCATTAAATGATTAATATGTATTTGAATTATACTCTAATTATATTTTTATTATACTTTTATAAAAGTTAATGAAATCTCAAGTCAATTGATTAATGATATAAAAACAGAAATTTCACAATAAAAATAGTCAAATATGTACTATATACACCTATACTATCTCTATGTTGTACTCTACATTAAATATATATATATATACTCCTATAAAAAAAACATCCAAATGATAATTGCTAATATAAAGTACTTAGACCTGTAGTTTAATTAATAAGATGCATGTTTTCAATCTGGTCTTACTCCCATTGCCTGGGCCTTGATTTTCTCAGCCTTCTAAATGGCAGCTATGGGCTTAAGTAAGCATTTGGGTTTATGCATAGATTCAGGCCTCGTGAGACCGAGCCTGATTTACTTGTGCCAAACTGCTTCTAGGCCCAATTTTAAAAGCCGAAGAACAGAAGTTGCAAAACCCTTGAACCCCTCCAAGATTTGCTTCCAACTTCTCTGTTCCTCTAGAGCTGGAAGCCTGTAAATCTCTTTCTTTTGATTTCTCTGCGACTTATTTGGTAAAAATGGTGTGGATTTTGTAACTTGTAGTTTGAATTTTGTTCCAGGGTTCGTTGATTGTTCAGTGAGGGAAGAAAATGCCGCTGGGTCTTATACTGGGGATAGGCAGGGCGTTCCGGAGGAAGCGTACCTCATCATTAGACATTCTCTCCCCAAAAAGAGCACCCCGGAATTACTACAAGGGAAAGAATTGCAAGCCTACTGGTTTTCATACTCGAAAAGGTTCCATCTTTTCCACCTTGATGTAACTGCAGACTAGTTCCTAATATTTTTGATTGATTTTGGTGATTTATGATTTTTTTTTTTTCAATAGATGAAAAAAGTCTTAGTTTTTATTTTGGGTTTGTGATGTGTCTATGAATGTGGACGAAGGAATCATTTTTCTTTACTGGGTGTCTTTTTGTAAGATTCTCCAAGCACTCGGTTGAGTTTTTTCATTGTGTCATCTTTGATATGGATTGGCTTTGTTGCACCCTGCTTGTTTGATTCTAACCCCTAGAAAGAAGCCATGGGTTCTCCGTTCATTTTGTTTTTTTGCTTTTTAGTTAGTATTGGTGGTGGACTTTGAACATATATATATATATAACTACACTCTCCAAGTTGTTGCTTATTCTTTTGGTGATTCCCTTTCAAATTGTTCTTTCTTACCATCTAAATCAGATGCCAAACTGTATATTGATTTCATGTTTGAGCATGTCAGCTACTCTGCTTATGCTTGAGTTTTTATATAGACTCTCTCTTTCAAAGCCTTGAGCTATGATAAATAATCTTGTTGGTGTGTATATGTCATGATAAAAGAAAGTTCAAGAATTTAAAGCCAGTTCAAGGTTTGTTCAAATATATCTTCTAAGATAGATTAATGGCTGGATGCAAATCCTTTGAATGATTGAAGCCTTTTGTGTTGTGAGTTATGAAACAACTAATTAAAAGTTTCACCACTCCAGTAGCTTGATCCATTAAACTAGACATAGTAGTTTCTTTTTATCTAATAGAGCTTGAATCAATAACCCAACAATTACCTGAGGTATGGCATGTAAATTTTTAACTGCTTACATTGTATGAATTCATTTGTTCCTAATGTGACATACAAACATCCTGCAGGTGGGTATGTTGTGGTGCAGGAGAAGTTACCAAATTACGTGGTCCCTGATTTGACTGATTTCAAGGTAATCACATTCCATCCTTTTTAATTTCTCTATTCTGAATGAGCATAAATATCATTAGCTTAAAAGAGGACATAAGTATAGGGAAATGCTATATTTTCTGCAGCAATTCCGTTTCCTGTCTTATTTCTTCTGGTATAGAGAGTGAATTAGTTGTTAGGTCTGGTCCTAGATATATTCTATGGGATGGTTGAACCCCCTTAATTAGCTCAAAGTTAAATTTAAAGAGCAATGTTATTTAGTAGGTGTTGTAACTTTGGGGAGCAATTTAAGGCAAAACTTTAACATTTCACTTGCTACTACCCATTATTTGCATGATTCTAAACATAAAACTCTGTGATTTCCAATTTTAATGATGCAAATCGTTTTCTTTTGCAATCTCTCTATTGCAGCTCAAACCCTATGTATCTCAGTGTCCAATAGAAGCAAAGACAACTGAGGCTTCTGAATCAGCTAAATGATGAAACAGAGCAAGGATGGATTAGGTGCCTTCATTATCATTATTATTATCTTTTTAAAGAAGTAATCTTCACGGGATAAATTTCTCATCCACGAATGTATGACTTGGATGCAAGTAAGCCATTGAAATATTGAATTATTTGCAAGTTGTTGTTTATTCTAGTGAAGAAATTTCTCAGGACTTATGGCCATCCTCATCCCGTGTGTCCAAAAGAAGGAAGCTTTCTATTAAGCATATCGTGTAACAGATGGCGCATAGCTGGAATCTGTTCATAGACACATCTCTCCACGTCTTAATAAAAAAACGTTTTCCTGATTTTATTGTATTTTTTTTTTCTAGTTTTTGAAATACAAATGTGATACTTGTAGTACTTAGTATATTTATTTTTTAGAATTGATCATGAATATTTAATGAGATTGCAAAAAAAAAAAAAAATCAAGATGTGCTTGTAATTAAAATGTATAATAATAATAATAGAACTTTACTCTTCTTGTAACAAAATAATTTTTGTTTTTTAATTTTTTAATTAAAGATTTGAGAAAATTTTATTTGTTTATTTATATTATTTTCAAAAAAAATTAAAAATACAGCTAAATATTTTGTGATAGAATAATTAATCAAAATAAGTGAAATAATAGGATTAAGTTATGAAAAAATATTTATCTATATTAAAAAATAAAAAATAATAACTCATCTAAGGTAAACTTAAAATTTTAAAAATAATTATTATTTTGAGATGAAGAGTATCTTCTTTATAAATCTAACATAAAAAGAAATTTATTAAAAACATTTTAATAATTTAATAAATAATTTTATCATTTTTAAAAGTTAGTAGTCTTGATTTTCATTTTTATCGTATTTGATTAGACCAACGTGTTATAGAATTGCAATTTGCCGGTGGGGTGTTAACACGAGAAATCACTGGAAGGTGTGTTAAGTCCCGATCTTTTCTTTTCTAATTTATTTTAAGCATGGGGAACTCGATTCTTGAATAATCCACATCACTTCTGCTTCGATTGTAACACAAAGGATTCCTCTTTTATGTGGAAAAGGCCCGTTCCACTACGCTACGCGACTCACTAATTGCGTCGCGTACCTTTTTTTTTATTTTTTTTAAGTAAAGTGGAGATCACTCGTTCAATTTATTTAATATTTATTATAATAGATACTATCCTTAACAGTTAATCATTTTTTATGTAAAAAAGAAAAAGGAAAAGCAAGCATGGGGATATGGACCAACCCCCTAAAAAGAAAAAAAAAAAAAAGAGAAGAAAATGACTTTGCTACTTCTACTTCAATGTTTTCCTCGTTTTTTTAATTAGTTCCTCCTATGTACCAAAAAATAAAAAAAAAATTAGTTCCTCCTTTTGTGTTTGTGTCAATCATAGAGTGATATTTCATCTTTCTATTTTTTTTATTAAAGATAAAAAGATGATATTCAATTCTAATTCTCATTACACAAAGGACTTCTTTAATTCGGAGCTAACATAATTTTATTTCATTTAGTAGATCTCTTGCATATCAGAGATGTACTATTAATTCACATATAACTGAAAAGTGTACATTATAATTATTTAAGATAATAGTATTTATTTATCTTATCTCTTAAATATTAAAAGAAAAATTATCTCAAAATTACATTATTTCAATAAATTTTTATTGAAAATGATTAAAATACTTTATCTTTAAAATATGAATTAGAGTGTTTTTTGTTTTTTCTTATAGTACTTTATTAAAACTATATAGTTTTGGAATAATTTTTCACTTAATTTTTAAGAAATAAGGTGGATAAGCGCTAATCTCATTATTTAATTATAAATATATTAATTTCTTTAGTTAATATTTTTAAAAATAATTTTTTTTAAACTTATACATTTAAGATATAGATTAAAAAA